AACTCACGGCTGGCATGGACGCGGGAATCAGGATTGGATAATTCGAGCCAAAAACAATATTATAGCTTTAGTGAGTGATGTTAAATTGTTATATATGTGTCAATGATTGTCAATGATTTCATTTATGAAATAAGGTATTTTTTTTAATGGATGGTCAGATCAGACACCTAGTTTTGCTCGAGAACCACTTAAACATGGTTTCGTTCATATATCCGGATAGGCAGTTAGTCAAGAGCATGGTTACTACTACATAACTTGAATTAACGTCAGATCCTCCCTTGTGATGTCACTGGATTGTTTCTTTCTTCTGACAGTATCTAACATTAGTATATCGTGACACAACACGTTTACATGTATGTTTGTAACATCGCTTTTCGTCACCGAAGTTCATATAATTGTTATCTTTATCCAGGGCTGCTGTTATTTCAAGCAATTTTAATTTTCTCTAAAATGAAGGAATTGTTCTTGTATAAAGAAGTCATTATAAATTTCAGATGTAATATGGTCGTGTATAAACGGTTGTTTGCAATACCGGTATAACCCCCGCCTAGCGACCCGGGTCGCAACCATATGTAATGAACCATATAACATGTCAAAAAAACTTTTTTCAGACAAAATCAAACGTTATAACAGTAGACTGGAGATATGGAGCCAAACAGTCGTATTTCCAAGCCGTAGCAAACAGCCGAGTTGCCGGTGCTGCAACTGCGCATGTCATGAATGTTTTACACGAGACCTTTGGCGCCAATTATAGCAATATGTACATGATAGGTTGGAGTCTTGGGGCGCATGTGGCAGGATATGCAGGAGAAGAAATTAAAAGTTCTGGAAATTTAATTGGAAGAATAACAGGTTAATATTAATAAAAACTAACTACTGACTTATTTTTGTATATTTCAATTTTGCAAAAACATTCTGCCTATGCCCAGGATATTGACAAAAATTCAAGTAAAACACCCACCACTACAGTAATTAATCTATCACGATTATAAAAGCTGAAATCCACCACAATTTAAATCCACCAAAATAACACATGGACAATAAAAGAATAGCACATGCATACTGTAAATGATAACTCACCCATAACTCACACCATGAAACCAGGACGCGTGTGTGATAAGCTGCTTATTGCATTGTCTGCTACACGTATAAACAAACTTGTTTACTTTGGTTTTGGTTGCAATCGAGTTATTACCCGTTTTCAACATTTTATGATTATATTATTCAAGTATATGTTCTTTGCAAGGTTTGGATCCGGCAAGTCTTGGCTTCACTGGCGATGGGAAGACGCGTGCAAGATTAGATATAAGTGACGCTTCTTTTGTAGATGTTATACATACAGATATAGACTGTAAGTTATTGTTTGATCTTACATAAAGTAAGTTGATTCGGTATATTTCGCCGCTTTCCGTGAAATAAAATTCTATAATTATCAATTATCGAACAATCATTTTCCGTGTCATATTATCAAAGACAACGTCAATATCGATATCACCTTGAACGACATTCATTACGTTTATATCCTAGATAACACTTGTGGAAATTCGGTCTATTTCGCCACTTTCCGTAACATAAAAGGATCAAAGTATTGATGTCACGAAAACACACCATTTTCAAAGGGACATCTTGATAATTTATCTGACAAAAACTACCCGAATGTATACGAGTATTTAATGGTGTCATTGAAGCTTTAAAACTAAATATATTTGTCGACACTTTTATTTTAGTATCCTTATTTTAAATACAGAAATAACACCTTCTTGAAACATTTATTATAGATTCAGTAAAACTGTAGATCTTTATTTAATCTCTACAATTATTTTACGCATCTTACAGCCGGGAAGGGTATACGAGATCCAATAGGTCATGCCGATTTTTATCCAAATTACGGTATCGCACAGCCTGGATGCAAGGGTAAACGTAAGTGTAACTGAACTCAGTATAAAGTAATGAATATATGAATAAAATAAGCACTGTTTAAATTAAGATGATTGTTATATAATCACAAAGGACATATGTGATCATTTTACAAAAATGAACGATCGTGCAATAAATCTCTATTTCTATCCTTACATGTTCGTAGAAAGAGAGTAGAAACAATGTCGTCATTAATTTTGTTAAATTAATGTCATATCTGACGTCAAATCATGTTTTTCTCTTCGCTTATGCATGATATTTTATTCGATTGCAATAGGAATATAATGCAAACCATGTTTAATGAAAAATTGAGTAAAACGGAAATAGAATAGATCTTTAAGAATAAAGATTAATGACGATGACGTCATGTTATAGATTGTGGGTAGTCCTTGTCTTTTATTGGGGCATGCTTGATGGACCAGTTAATGCCACTTAACTTGTACATTACGGTTTATTTCATGATTTAGATATTGTAACAGCATATAACGTTTTAGTTTTCGGAAGTATTGTGACATATGTTGTTGTTATTTTGTTTCGCACTCATTAATTATGGAATAAAACATACAAGTATCCCAAAAATCTTACAGACAAAATTGCAGTCGACTTTTCCAAGACAATTAAAAAAACTTAATTATAAAATCAGATATTTTCTTTTGATATGCCTTAAAATCTTTCATTTTTATAATTTGCAAAAGAATGTATTAAATAAAAAAATATATATCATTTTGAATTACAGGTATGTGTGACCATGCAAGAGCGCCTTCTTATTTTGTAGAATCTATTTTACATTCATGCACGTTCTACGCAAATCCCTGTCATATATCAAACATTTTAGCTCAGGCAGGATGTAACGTTACATGCGCTGGGCAATGTGTCAAAATGGGATTCTATGCTGCATCCTCAACGAAATTTCCAAATGGAACATTTTATCTTGAAACCAACGATGTCCCACAATACTGTTTATATACGTGAATATATAGAAATATATAGTAGGCCTATTTAAGAATTATAGTATAAAAGAATAAAAATAAAAAAGGAACGAAACTGTATATATGTACAGAAAAATGCTGCTGTTACATAATACAATAGTTTTGTGAACATTCATACATACACTGTGAACAATTTAAAATAGCAGTATCATATTTAAAGCATTTAAATAAACTATCATTCTTCATAAAGTGAACGTATCATAAAAGACAATGTGTGATTTGGTTACTTTCAACGAATTCGATGGTTTAAATTTATTAACAGATATAGCGTCTTACCCAAAGTAAAAAGTTAAAATTTCAGTTTGGATAAAACCATTAATCATTTTAGGTGAAATTTCAAAATACGTTCTTTGTGAATAGGGAACAGTGGAGGCCATGATAAGACAGCACCAATGTGCCGGTAGATCTTCTTTTGTACTTCATGGTCGCATGGGTAGATTCCATCGTCTTTAGCAGGCTATGAGACAGTGTTTATTTCTGTTGAACATGACAAACACGACCGGTCATTTCTCTTATAATATATATTCAATAATATTTTCTTTTGCGTTTTACAATTAAAAATAATATGATTTCATTTCTGGACATAAACTCTCAAGACATATACTTTATAATTTATTATATACACATTATTTTTACGTTATTGCCCAAGTATTTATTAAACCACTGAAATGTCAATGGAAGGTTATGCAAAAAAGTAGAATGGTGCCCGAAAGTGCAATTGTCTCTTTCAATATCTTATTTATTAAATTACTTCTTTCGTCCGAGATACTAATAATTGTCCGTAATCTAAAAGATCAGTGATCTTTCGTTCACCTCTTAATGGTTTTCTTAATGCTTTGAAGTTTAATGTAGTATTGATTGTATATTACGTCGTAAAACAAAAAACGTAACTGCTCATACATTGTTATTCTAAAGGTCAAGAATATGTGGCTTTTAGCAATAGATAATAATGCGATCTGTCGTTGATGTTGCCTCATATCGACAATAAAATTGAATTAACAAAACCAATGTTACACTTTGGACACTAGCCGTTTGATTCATTTCTTTAAAAAGAGCGTGTATTGGTAAGACAAATACTTTGGACATATACTTTGTGACAACAATGGGTTTATGTACTTTGTTGTACAAAGTCTGGCTTGGTTGGTTTTGTTACAAAAAGGTTTGTTACGATGGACTCGGGTGTTTTGAGAATAAATCACCTTTTCATAATGCAAACTTTGAAGTTCCTCAGTCACCAGACGAAATACAGGTATGTCACTTACTACTTATTATTCTGTTCAGACATTGTGTATTTTAATTTTTAATATGTATACAAACTTAAAATTTGTCAAAACTTTGTTTTTAAATTGCTAGAACAAAGGAAATCCCTCGGGAGAAATGAAAACGAAATAAAATATTTGATGAAAATAGCAGAAACGGTTTGATTGAGCGTATCTAGAACATACATGTATAGTATCTTTACGTCAACAGGATAGTGAACATGTGTACTCTCAGAATTCTAAATGAATAAAACATTTATATATCAATCTTTTAAAATAATTGGACAAAACATAATACTTATTACATTATTATCATCCCCTATGCTTTTAAACGAAATTCATGGAATAAAATTGCAAGGTCGTTAAATAGACGGGTTACTTCTTTTTTAATCATTTTTTTATCGCAAATCGTATATTAATGTGGTACGTTAAATGCATTACATTATATTTGTAGATGGACAAGGTCATATAAAGTTTAAGTCGGTGCAAGGGAGCATAAATTTCATTTTTGATTCTGCAGTACCCATGAAAACCCCAAAAAGACAAAAGTTAAAATGTTGCAGACTCGGTTTGATTGAGCCTGTTCATGGATGGTACTGCAAATTGCAAGTTACCGTTGATTTCGCCTAGCAACGGCTTAAGCTATTAAAACATTTAAGAACGAACGTGGTGATTTTTTTAAATTTATAAACATCCAAAAATATGTTTATACGGCTGTTATCATAAAACCTTCAATGTGACATTTTCATTCTATTCCATGAAAAGCGGCGTATTGTCCCAAAGTAAATCCTAAGCGAGAAAACAATAGGCGGAACTAAACAATTTGTAATCTTGAAATGGGATCGGGGGTTATGAAGCCACGGTTTTCAAATAATATTTTAGTTTTCATTGCTTCCTCAAAGTGGCTTTTCAAAATTACATTTGTATTTATCACAATCATCATTTTCTGTCTTTATTTTTTAATTACAAATTAAGAAATTCTGATTTTATTGTGAAATATTGAAATACCTTTAGATATTTTGTGTTTCTCTATTCTACATGCATATTGTTACTTACAAGTGTCATTACAGGTTCAATTTTTCCTCTTTACCACGAATGACACCGATATTGCATATAATTTAGAAAGTAATGTTTCGGATATTGACTTATCCGGGTACAGTGCTAGTGATAGAACGATTTTCCTCATTCATGGTTTCACAGGGAGCTCAAGAGATAACTGGATAATGACGGCTAAGGACGCTATCCTTTCAGTGGTATATACATAAAAATATTTATATATTCAAGCACTATTACACATTGCTACCTTTTGTATTAGTGTTCATTTGTTTGTATAATATATTGTTATATCTTAAATTATAGTAACGACATATTAACGAACAACTCAACATTTTAAAATAAGTGTTAAATAATTTTAGTATACAAACCTGCTTACAGTACTTAATAAAAATATATAATCCCCTTGTAAGTATACTTTATTAACAATTATTCGCAATAAAAATCCAAACTTTAAAGCAGACTGCAAGTCCAGTCAAGGGGCAGGACGTGAAGTGGTTGCCCACTTGGTTTAAGCGAGAACATTGGTCGCAAGCTTTTTAGTATGAAGCTAAGACCATAAACCGAGTGTGCCATAAACATTGCTTTAAGGAATAGGCGTATTAAAATATTTCAAAATAACACACAAACCCACTTACCTGAAGAAAAAACGTGCGAACGTTGTAAATATTCATGACTCGGTAGCCATTTTGTCAAGTTTGGCTTGAACCAAGTGTGCAAACACTTCACGTCCTGTCCCTTGCCAGTTTACAAATAAAGCGGGGTAAATTTAAATCACGTGAATGTGTAAAACAATAGACACATTTTCCGATAATTATGACATTTCAAGTCATTTATTTATCATATATTCTTCTCTGTATTTGTAATTTCTATTTATAAGGAGAACGCCAATGTTGTGTTAGTGGACTGGGAAAAGGGGGCTGACAATCTACTAGACTATAATCAGGCGGCAGCAAACTGTCGTGTTGTTGGGGCTATCATTGCACGACTGATGACGTCACTTCACACGTCAACAGGAGCTAGTTTTGGAAATATGTATGTTATAGGACACAGTTTAGGCGCTCATATAGCCGGGTATGCCGGTGAAAAGATCAACTCACTGGGAAGGATCACGGGTAATTATGCAAAAATTTGAAAATAGAATAAATAAAATGGAAACCTAAAAAGCGCTCAATACGGAAATATAAAGTATGTTACTGTTTCGGTTTGAATGAACCTTTTTTATGGACGGTAGTTGTAAATATAAGCTTCTGTTCACGTCTCTCCTCAGCACTGGCTAACCAGGATTATAAAATGGTGTCATATTTACACTGTGATGTGTTCAGGCTACTATCCGGGAGCTTAATGCAACAACTCCATGTCATTCCATGACAAGCGGCGTATTGTTCCCAAGTGAAAGTAAACAATGAACATAAAGGGGACTTTGGAGAGGGGATAACTTTATTTACATTGTTTAATTTAGAGGGATTTTGATATAATATAATAACGTTTTTAGAGTAGACAGCTGACAGTGTCACGCGGACTTACAGTATCCGGTAAAGGAAACTAGAATTTGGCCAAAATTTCTTCTTTTGCAATATGAGTTATTCACGTGAATCACATAGAATTTTACTTCATGTATTGATTTTTTGGCAGGGAATAATAAAGCATTCGTTTATTAAAAAGCTTTGCCTCTCTTGTCAAAATCATTATGTAAATGCTTTTTCATGAACACTAATCTATGCATAAAACGAATCTGACAGTTATTTACATATGTAAACATTAATGAAACTCGCGCTGCAACTGGAACTCGTTTAATTAATGTTTAATTTGAAATAATTAGCCCAGTCGTGACTATTTCAATTGTAAATCATTGTGAGAAGAAAAATTTACATTGTATGTGGAGCTTTTGCTTGTTTTCCATAAACATTCATGTCCTATTAGTAAAGGTCAATTGCTCCTTTTTTGTTTTTCAAGTATTAATCACCCCTCTGATAACATTCAGTCGTTCTTTGTCAACTTGGACCTGACATTTGGCTAATTGTTTCAACTTAAGGACAAGTAGTAATGATAAATAGCATCGTATTATATATGATATTATAAAATATAAAGATCATCAAAGGGGGTTGGAATATTTGATGCGGGAATGTAGACCTTTCCGAGTGCATGTATTGTGGACAGTAGCAATATAGATGAAACAAGTGACAAAATTTATAAGTGATCGTCATCTAATAGTCTGAATCACATGAATATTTGAGAACTACTATCTAGCAAATTTTGGGAACCACATTTTTGAAATTGTACTTTTTATCATAGTCACTTTCAATATCGAACAGCGTAACCTTCTTAACTCTATATTGACTTCGGCAAAATCGGCCAAAATGACTAAAAATTTACCAATTAAATATAGTTAGATACTTCAAAAATTACCACTGAAAAAGTACATGAGTGTAATTTAAATTGTTACAGGTTTAGATCCGGCTTACCTGTCGTTCAGCAAGAAGAATCCTGCAATACGTTTAGATTCATCTGACGCCGAGTACGTTGACGTCATACACACCGACGGAAAACGATGGTTAAGTGAGTTACTGAACATCTTTGATCCCTGCCCGTATCTTACGTTGCAGTTTCAGTTTTTAAAACATTGCCAAAGTACTATTAATAGTCAATGTATTGTAAAAGTAAAACGTTTTGTTTTTGCGTTTTACGTGACACCAACAGAACAGAAGAGACTTTTGGTGACATTCCAGCAGCTTTACTGGTGAAGAAAGACCTCAGATGCCCTTCCAACTACATTCAGTAAGCTATTTGGATAGCTTTCTCATATTAAGCAATTTAAAGTCCTTGGCAGGATTCGAATCCACGGCGATGAGAGGCAATAACATTAACCACTTGGCCACGGACGCCCTCGCATTTTTATAATTTTGACAGGGGATATGTTTAAAGTATTTGGAAAATATAATTCATTTTTCATAAATATGTACTTACGTGTATAAAATATAATTATACATTTTAAAAGCGTACAGTTGCTAAGAAATTCGTCCTTTGGCAATGAGCATTTAGATTAAAAAGAGAAAAAAAACTTTAAGATAACAGCTTCAATTAATTTATGTATAGGTTATCGGTTTTATACCTTTTAAGCTTTTAGAAATAAATTTTCGAGCAAACGAAGTGAAAATTAGTTTCTTTAAAACTCTCTTTATATATATAACAATACTTTTTCAGCGGGACTAGGTATCGCAGATAGACTTGGACATGCAGACTTCTTTCCAAATGGTGGTTTTGATCAACCTGGTTGTCCTTCCTTTTTTGGATACAGTATAACTTTACTTTGATAATTTTAATTGTGTCAACGCCAATTTGTTTTAAATTGTGTATTGTTTTGTTGTTTTTGTACCAATACAATATCCTTACTCACTATAATTGATATTACATTGTTTTTGCGTAATAAATTAAATAATTAAAAGCGCATTTTTCTATACTTTAACAAGTTATAAGATGATTGTGACATCATTTTTAATAGGATGTTTTGCAAAATTGACCATTAAAACACCAGTTTCAACACAACTACTGACTTAAATGATTTTAAATGCAGGTACATGCGACCATTCCCGGGCCAGATCATATTTTGTTGAGTCCATCAATTCTACCTGTCGTTTCAATGCCATACCATGTCGTAACTGGGGCCGATTCAAGCGTGGTAAATGTTCGTGCGACACCAATTGTGCCGTGATGGGTTTCTCAAAGAATAACACCAAGTTCAGCGGAAAGTTTTATCTTAAAACGAGAAAACAAAGACCTTTCTGCAAAGAATAAATCAGACCCTTTTGTTTTGTTCATAATGGGGGAATTATTTGATTTATATTAAATCATGGGATTAAAATGTACAAATATATAACAAGAGTTTATTAGTACTGATTTTTCAGTTTTCAGGCATTCCTCAAATCACACTTTAACGTTATAAAACCAATTGAGATAATTAGCTAAATATTTGGTTTCAAGCACTACTATTATTTCGAACACACAACCATGCTCGCTAGCTGATAAGACAGATTCTTTATCAGCACTAACATTTCTCCTACAAGTAAATATCAGCTTCTCAAAGGGAAAACATCACATGTATGAAATGTATGCAATAAGTGGGAAAATAAATATCCATGGTTAAATTGTTATAGTGTGATATTTGTGGAAAAATGGAAAGTTACTTTTTCACGAAATATCCCATCATCAAGATTTTGCAAATTGTTTCCCGAAGAAGAAATCAAAATCCGAAAAGCAATGACAATAACAGAACACCGGTGTTAAGTTAATGACAATAGATAGCAGAACTAGTTAAAATTTATTATTTACCAGTGCACTGATATATTAGTGACCCGCCACTGTGTTTTAAAATCTCAGAATACTACAAAAAGTTCCACAATCTACAATGTACTATTTTTGCCGCAGTTTGAGGAAAAGAAAAGGCCATAATGATGTTGATCAAACACTGCCAAAAAAAATGCCCTTTACAATCAATTTATGTTTCGATAATAATAACAATGACGTAAGTATTGTTGCTTTTCAATTAGTGCTTTATTTGCATATTATATATTAAGCACAGCATTATTTACACATAGCTCTACACACATACACAAAATCTAGCGATTTAGCTCCCATCAGAAATCTGATCGTTTTCAAATAACACATACAGTTGCAAAGAAGGTAGCGACTTTCCATCGTTTTTGTATAGGATGAAATTTTCTTATCAACTCGCCTTGCTCATCTTGTGTCAATTCTGAAAAATCCCTACATCCGTTGGGTTTTGTAATCCATTGAGCTTTGCAACCCCTCTCGTAAAGTGTTAAGATCATCTCTGCTTCTGCAACACAATATCATGATGGTCAGTTGCGGCCATTATTTCTTCGCATCAACGTATAACTTCGTCGCTCTGGCAAGTTAGGTATGTCAGAGGTCGCCGATGCGAAGAGACGATGGTCTCAATGGAACGCTGGATATCTTTTACAAAATTTCTCATCTTTTTTAAAGAAAATTTAACGAATGAAAACAGTTGAAAAAAAACTTTAAGTTAATATTTATTAATGATACTGCTAATTTTTAAAATGGTGGCCAGATGAACTAAAACATGCTCATTAATAAGAAGTTCCACAATATTGCTCTTGTAACTGTCCCTGACATTAAGTTCACAAAGTAAGAAATAGCCTGCTTAACAGATAACGTCAAATATTTGGCTAACAAAACATAATTCATTGTCTAATATAGAACTATTGTTTACCTAAATATGATGAATGGAGTAAGGGGTTTGCAGTTAGAAGATTTCATCGTATATATGTAAGAAAATGATTAAAAAAGCAGGTATTGTATAAGTGGAAATTATGCCAATAGCTTACTTGGAAGATGACCAATCAATCCCTGGAAATGCACTGTTGTCCGTCTGAAAAAACATTTGTTTTTAAACACGTCAGGAAACAATGGAGTCTCGCACACTTGTGGTTCTACAGCGTCCGTGAAACACGATGGATCATGCATACCCGCTTCTTCACTTTTAAAAGCATTCTCATAAATGTCAGAGTACTTCTTCGACATATACCGGAACTTTAACTCCATATGGTGACAAACTACACAGGAAGTTTCATTCGATGTTTGGGCGTTACCTGTGGTATGCCAAAAAAAAATTCATTATAGATGGAAAATAGTACTGGTATATTACATTCAGGATTATAGCTTCCTCTTCTCTTATGTCACTTTGTACGTTGAGTATTGTTTCTTTGGTTAATAGGTTTTATGTCAATACTGACACTGTGATGCGGCGAGCTTCCACTAAATGCCTCAATGTGTGCATATTTTTCATCCATGTGGAGCCGCCCGATATTCCGTCAGCTAGCTAGACATCTTGCTTACATGGTAAAACACAACACAACAAAAACAAAACCCAAACAAAATAAACAACAAATAAACAAAATAAATAAAAAAAACAAATTCATTGGTGGAATTCGAACATACAAATAAATTTAATAGACACCAATGTAAATGAGATATAATGCATTGAACATTGAAGTTTTAAGTTAGTTGAAAGATAAACACAATTACAATCAAGTAGTGTTTGGATAGTTCCACCTGTCTTTATTGTTAGTCTGTACACTATAGAGAAGCCTAAACAATGTGTATGTATTTGAGTTTATTTATACACTCCACCGGTTACCCTTATGGGTGAGTCCTCCAAAAGATTATTAGTCATTTTAGAGTTTTGGAGTATACTGCAAGAAACATAAAGATGCCCAAATTCCAGAAGCTTCTCCTGGTTCTTTTTACATGTCAAGTGTCCAAGCACTCAAACAAGGGACCTCGATTTAAAGTCTCATCCGAAAGACTGATTAGTAATTTTAGTTGGCCAGCTCAGGAATCTTACACACAATGTCGGGATTACTAGTCTCGCGCTCTAACCGATTGAGCTATGCGGGCTGCCTCAAAGCAAACGAACTGTTATGCTAGGTTTTTAGCTGGCTGTGATAACTTTATGCTCCCATTCCCGTCACATGTTTTGCCATGTAATAACTACGGAAGTCAGTAAAAGTCAGTTAGCTATATAATATTTGAATAAATTATTTGATGTATAAAAGAAATGAACTATTCTCCTGTGTATTTAATTTATTTAATTCTTAATTTAAAAAGAAAACGAAAAAAACCCACAATGTAAAAACTAAATGTATTTATCTTTAACCCATGATTGTAAGTCTACAAAATAAAAATGCAACAAACTCCAATGCATTATTTAAAGCTACTGAAGGTAAATACAACAAAACTGAAAATAGTTAAGTGTCAGCTATAAAAAATGTAAATGCTGCTTAAAGTGAGAAGAAAATTAAAATGTGGGTCTGTGAGTATGAAGAAAATTAAAATAAACTAAAGAAGTGAACTGTTAGCTATACAAACTTTAATGTAATGCTGATGGTCTGGAAAAAATACTATAAAGTAAAGAAGATTGGTGTTGTGTATCTAAATATAATATTTATAGTGCTAATAGTCTAAAGAAAATTACAAAATGAGCAATCCAAGATTCATGGCATGAGAAAATTTTAATGAACTCGAGTCCGTTAGCCAAACATAATCAAAGCACAGAAGGCGCTGAATTTGTTTGGGTCTCAGAATGTAAGAAAGGTGCAGGTTGTGATATTATATGTTTAGTGCCACCAATACTTTCCAGCGTTTTAATTGTAGTAAATTGGCTATAAGACTAATTGCAACACTGATATTCAATCCAATGTTTATTTGACTTTAACAATTTAAAAAAATGAGTTACCTTTGCTGGGATTTGAACTCCAGACCTCTCGCTTCCTAAGCAAGCCCGAAAACCCTTCAGCCACGGTTAAATTTATATGTGAACGGCCTGAAGAAAACCATATTATTCTAAATTAGGGCTTGTAACAACTTTTAACTGTTGTTTAACACAGATGTAAATAATCCTGAAGCTTACAATAAGCATGTATATTTATAAAGAATCAAAGGGCTGCAAGTTCTGTGGTATTTTCTGATCTTTGCAATCTAAATCGTACTGTATATCTGTATGCATTTTCCTGTATAAGTTTATTTTTTGGTATTATAATTCATTTTGTAAGGCACATACGGAATTCTGCATAACTAGAGTTGCATCAAAAATCATTTATGTACTTTTTTAACGACAGCCACACTTTATCCTTGTAAATCATGGCTACTTCCTTAACAAAAACACTTTAAAAAAGAATTTAACAAAAAAAAGGTTTTCCTCGACTGGGATTCGAACTTGAGACCTCTCACTCACTAAGCGAGCGCGTTTCCACTGTACCACGGAGAAGTTATACATTGTCTGAATAATATCAAGTCATTCTAATTTTAGAACTTCCATTGCATTCAGGTTTGTTATCCTTATTAATTTCGAGGTATTTTGTTCAGGGTAAACCTGTTGTTTAAATTTGAAGTAAATATTTTAGCGAAAATCCTCTCGCCCAAACAGTCCGACATGTAGAATCTATATATTCCACTACTCGGTTTGTGTAGTATTCGGTAATCTACAAGGCTAAAACTAGTATTTTCATTGATAAAATCATATTCATCCGCGTAATTTGTGATTGTGCATTTATTGACAATTCTATAAGCCAACGCTATTGTTTAACTTTAAATGCGTTGTAATTTGTTGGATACTTGTACCAAAATAAAATATTTCTTTCTTTTAAATCGCTAGTTTTAAGCTGTTTTGAGAACTACTTGTTGTTAGGTTTGTCGTAAACCTCTTGTATCAGAGATTGAATGTCCGCTTTGTATTTAGTTATTTTCGATCAAAAAATTCAATAAAACAATATTAGAAATCTTCGTCCATTCGGGAATTACTTTGCTTGAAAATTGATGCGCCTGTCTTTGACCATCTTTACGCAGTGATCTCCCCTGAATTTTTCGGCTTCAGTGTACATACAAAAGGGAAGTAACCGCTTCAAAAAAGTGGACTACTTTCGGCATTTGCAATTAACAACATTAGACTCTGAAATTTCGCTACCATTATTTGTTTGGTCTGACGACCCAAACAAATAAAAACGATTGACTTTATTGTAAACTTTGAACACCACGTTAATCCTTCACAAAATATCAAATGACCAATGGTTTGAAAATTATGTATAGAACCCTAGATAATGAAAACATTTCAATTCCTTGAAAATGTTGAATATTATTCAGTACGCATTTTTTTTTGCAAATTGATAAAAATATATAAAACTTTTTTTTACAATGTGCCGGTAAAAGTAGTAATCCAAGCATAAAAATTATTATTCCAAACATTTTGCTATGTTGTCTTCAGTATTTCTGTACCAATTTGTCAGTTCGTTTTGCTTTTAAAACAACGGATATTTTTGCATGAACCACCACATGGGTTGGTTGTTATTGTAGCGCACAGAACATATATTAAAATATAAAGAAATTTTATAGTAAAAAAGAGCAGATATTTACCCATTTAACCAAAGTAATCAAACACTAGTTGGGGAGGAATATTCACAGAACACAGCCATGCAGGCGCAGTATCTAGCCACATACGTGTAGAACCACTTGGAAACTGAAGTTGACCTCTAATTGGTAAATACTATGTGTTTATTGTAGACCTATTAAATTAATCGTTATACTTATTGATAACAGAAATGTATAGCTAAAGTAATTTGATATCTACAAATTGGAATGTGTTAACTATTTAAGACGGCACTGGACACCAACTGTTTCTAGATTACGTCACAGACTCATGCAACAGTCTTTGCTGATATTTTACTAATCCAATCCATGCTGTTGTTTCTGCAAGCTGTAATTTCAGCTAATTTCAGTCATTATTCTACTTAGAACATATTTGGGGAGGCATTTTATCTTGTTTTTATAATGTCAAATACATGTATCTGGTATTAATTTTACAATTGCCTAAAGGAATATTTTGCAATTTTTAACATCATTATTTATACATACACGCATACACAAACACTCTGCGATTTAGTTCTCATCAGAAATCTGATCGTTACAGTTGCAAAGAAGGTAGCGAGTTTCCATCTGTTGGGTTTGGTGCTAGGTTAGGATCATCTCTGCTTCTGCAGCATTATATCATGATGGTCAGTTGGGGCCATAATATTTTCGCATCAACGTATAACTTATTTGCTCTTGCATTTTAGGTATATCAGAGGTCGCCATGGTCTCAATGGAACACCGGATATTTTTTACAAAATTTCTCATCTTTTTTTTTTTAAGAAAATTTAACTGAATGAAAACAATTGAAAAAAAGCAACAACTTAACACTTTACCTCATATATACTCGAGACAACGCACTTTTGCGACCCCCCCCCTTTTAAAGGCCTCAAATAGTGAAAAATGTCCTATTTGGGCCCCACACACATGTTTTCGTTTGAGAAATGTTGCTGAAAAAAGTGAGCCAAGAAAATTTTGGACTTGTGAGAGGCTAAAAATGACCCCAGGTCAATCATAAGGTAACGTGTAACCAACACTGAAAAGCCTTTGACTCTATCTCAATCCCTTGAGAAGTTGCAGCACTTTGAAATAAATTTTGATGGAAAAAATCAAAGCAAAATAGTGATTTTTGGCAATTTTGAGATGTCCCCTCGTTGCCATGGTAACAGGAAATTTAAGACTGAGCATGTCGTTACAAAGGCAATGGTCCAGTCAACATTTGTGCCAAGTTTAATTAGTATTGAAGCATTTTCATTGTTTCATAGCAGTTTGAACTTGTAACAGAAACGGCCATAAATTCACAATATGCTCATGAGGAAAGGGTTAATTTTTAAAA